CAATAGTAACTAAAGGCAAAAAATAAAATCAACTACCCACAAAAGCAGTTAAAGGAAGCACAAAAGAGCACAGAATTAAACAACCAACATAATGGAGGAGGAAGAATAAGAAGGGAGAAAAATAAAGAATGACCAGACAGTGTTTAAAATAGCTCAATAAGTGAGTTAAGTTAGACAGTAAGATACTAAAGAAGCTAACCTTGAACCTTTGGTAACCACGAATCTAAAGCCTGCAATGGCAATAAGTACGTATCTTTCAATAATCACCCTAAATGTAAATGGGCTGAATGCACCAATCAAAAGACACAGAATAATAGAATGGATAAAAAAGCAAGACCCATCTCCATGCTTCTTACAAGAGACTCACCTAAAACCCAAAGACTATAGGAACAAAGAAAGACTGAAGGAACAAAACAGCAGCAGAATCATAGAACCTAAGAATGGACTAACAGCTACCAAAGGGAAAGGGATTGGGGAGAAACGGAGGGAAGGGAGGGATAAGGGTGGGGAAAAAGAAAGGGGGCATTACGATTAGATGTATAATGCTGGGGGGCATGGGGAGGGCTGTGCAACACAGAGAAGACAAGTAGCGATTCTACAGCATCTTACTATGCTGATGGACAGTACTGTAATGGGGTTTTGGGGGAGATTTGGTGAAGGGGGGACCCTAGTAAACATAATATTTTTCATGTAATTGTAGATTAATGACAACAAAATAAATTAATTAATTTTTTTAAAAAACAGCAGGATACACATTCAAGTATACATGGAACATTCTCCAGGATATATCACATGTTGAGCCACAAAACAAGTCTCACCAAATTCAAGAAAACTGAAATCATATTAAAGATCTTTTCCAACCACAACAGTATAAAACTAAAAATCACTTACAAGGAAAAATACAAACACATGGAGGCTAAACAACATGTTACTAAACAACCAATGAGTCAACAGAGAAAGAAATAATCAAAAGATATCCTGAGACAAATGAAATGGAAACACAATGTTCAAAAATCTTTGAGATGAAGCAAAAGCAGTTCTGAGAGGGCAGCTTACAGCAATACAGGCCTACCTCAAGAAACAGGAAAAATCTCAATATAACCTTAAACCTGGAGAAACTAGGGGGAAAAAAAGCACCAAATTAGTAAAGGGAAGGAAATAATAAAGATCAGAGCAGAAATTAATGAAATACAGACTAAAAATACAATAGAGAAGATCAAACACTAAGAGTCAGTCTTTGAAAAGGTAACAAATTTGATTGATAAACTTTCAGCCAGACTTATCAAAAAGTAAAAGACTACTCAAATAAAATCAGAAATGAAAAATAATTACAACCAACACCACAGAAATACAAAGGGTTATAAAAGACTACTATAAAAAGTTATACACAAATAAATTGGATAACTTAGAAGAAATGATAATTCCTAGAAACATGCAATCTCCCATGACTGAATCAGGAATGGAAAATCTTAACACACCAATTACTACTAATGAAATTTAAACAGTAATTAAGAAAAAACCTCCCAACAATTCATGGGTAAATTCTACCAAACTTCAAAAAAAGAGTTAATACCTATCC